TTCAGGATCCAGTCTCCTTCTTATTCATCAACATAAAAAAGCCCCATGGTTTGGGAGCCAAAGCTAGATCGCCATTGTTGCTGAGATGGTGAACATGTTTCCTGTATTAGGCGAAAGTCTGGTGCAGCCTGGGTGATTAGAAAATCTCGAGCCATTTGGAACTTTTGGCCATAAAAAATTGTGTAAGCGAGGAAGCTTCAAAGGTTAATAAACAGCTAACGGATGGAGGACGAAATCAACGAAAAAAGCTTTTTGGATGACATCAATTTACACGAGTTAGATACTGCAATATTACAGCTTCGGTTACGTATACACCGTGTTTGATAGTGGGTGAAAATATAGCAAAGAGAAACAGTAAACAGATACTGCAATATTACAGATTCGGTTACGTATACACCGTGTTTGACAGTGGGTGAAAATATAGCAAAAAGAAACAGTAAACAGATACTGCAATATTATAGCTTCGTTGGCGTATACACCATGTTTAACAGTGGGTGAAAATATAGCAAAGAGAAACAGTAAACAGATACTGCAATATTACAGCTTCGTTGACGTATACACCATGTTTGACAGTGGGTGAAAATATAGCAAGGAGAAACAGTAAACAGATACTGCAATGTTATAGCTTCGTTTACGTATACACCGTGTTTAACAGTGGGTGAAAATATAGCACGGAGAAACAGTAAACAGATACTGCAATATTATAGCTTCGTTGGAGTATACACCATGTTTGACAGTGGGTGAAAATATAGCAAAGAGAAACAGTAAACAGATACTGCAATAGTATAGCTTCGTTGGCGTATACACCATGTTTGATAGTGGGTGAAAATATAGCAAAGAGAAACAGTAAACAGATACTGCAATATTATAGCTTCGTTGGAGTATACACCATGTTTGACAGTGGGTGAAAATATAGCAAGGAGAAACAGTAAACAGATACTGCAATATTATAGCTTCGTTGACGTATACACCATGTTTGACAGTGGGTGAAAATATAGCAAAGAGAAACAGTAAACAGATACTGCAATATTATAGCTTCGTTGACGTATACACCATGTTTGATAGTGGGTGAAAATATATCAAGGAGAAACAGTAAACAGATACTGCAATATTATAGCTTCGTTTACGTATACACCATGTTTGATAGTGGGTGAAAATATAGCAAAGAGAAACAGTAAACAGATACTGCAATATTATAGCTTCGTTGACGTATACACCATGTTTGATAGTGGGTGAAAATATAGCAAAGAGAAACAGTAAACAGATACTGCAATATTATAGCTTCGTTGACGTATACACCATGTTTGATAGTGGGTGAAAATATAGCAAAGAGAAACAGTAAACAGATACTGCAATATTATAGCTTCGTTGGCGTATACACCATGTTTGACAGTGGGTGAAAATATAGCAAGGAGAAACAGTAAACAGATACTGCAATGTTATAGCTTCGTTTACGTATACACCATGTTTAACAGTGGGTGAAAATATAGCAAAGAGAAACAGTAAACAGATACTGCAATATTATAGCTTCGTTTACGTATACACCATGTTTGAAGTGGGTGAAAATATAGCAAAGAGAAACAGTAAACAGATACTGCAATAGTATAGCTTCGTTGGCGTATACACCATGTTTGATAGTGGGTGAAAATATAGCAAAGAGAAACAGTAAACAGATACTGCAATAGTATAGCTTCGTTGACGTATACACCATGTTTGACAGTGGGTGAAAATATAGCAAGGAGAAACAGTAAACAGATACTGCAATATTATAGCTTCGTTGACGTATACACCATGTTTGACAGTGGGTGAAAATATAGCAAGGAGAAACAGTAAACAGATACTGCAATAGTATAGCTTCGTTGACGTATACACCATGTTTGACAGTGGGTGAAAATATAGCAAGGAGAAACAGTAAACAGATACTGCAATATTATAGCTTCGTTTACGTATACACCATGTTTGATAGTGGGTGAAAATATAGCAAAGAGAAACAGTAAACAGATACTGCAATATTATAGCTTCGTTGACGTATACACCATGTTTGATAGTGGGTGAAAATATAGCAAAGAGAAACAGTAAACAGATACTGCAATATTATAGCTTCGTTGACGTATACACCATGTTTGATAGTGGGTGAAAATATAGCAAAGAGAAACAGTAAACAGATACTGCAATATTATAGCTTCGTTGACGTATACACCATGTTTGACAGTGGGTGAAAATATAGCAAAGAGAAACAGTTATCCGCTTGTGATGTATTTGATACAGGTATCGAAGTTGCATTTTGCATCTTGAGTTTGCGAAATTCCCGTGACAGTTTATTAACTTTTTGATAACTTCTGTAATCGTTTGTGAAATACAATTTTCATGCCTTTACTTTCTTATTCAGCTTGAATTTATTATACGTGTGCTGTTTGAACGAAACGACGATACATCTTTCATCTCTATAATCACATACATGAATGAATTTCACTTCCATATATTTTTTAGAATTTTAAAATCAGTCCATATGAACAAAGTGTTGATTTTTGTGTCTGTTTAAATGATAAAATATGCTGTTCGTCATATAAAGAAATCAATTAGGGATCGTAAATGTTTTGGGCCAGATGTTTATTAAATACATTGCAAAGTGTCCGCTAAAATCTACTCGTCGCCACTCCCTTTCCAAATATTCATGACCTCTAACTTTTTTAGTCAATAAAAAATACTTTTAGGCATTTAAGACACCTCTTGCCGTACACAACCGTTTCAACATGAAAGTGCAAGTTTCACACTTGAATGGGTCTAAAGACATTTTATGTTAGCTTCTGGTAATTAAATGCGTGAGTGACTCACGCCAAACACAAGGACCCACTCACAGGTAACATATATACTATACGTGTAACGAAACGCGCCATCACTTGTCCAGAGAGTCTGTATAAATACTGGACATAATACCACGTTTGCCGGCGAAGAAGGGATTCTCGCCTCGCCTGAACACTGTTATATCAACAGCATACGAGTGTTACCTTTATGTCTAACTGAAAAACGATGACACATTCCCAGTATACAACTGTATGGGAGAAGTTCGACCTAACAAACGCAGTTTCAATGAATGTCTGAAGGCGTCGAGCAGAGACCCACTTGACACCTGTTGCATTGTTGAAGGTAAACAGAGGCAAATATGCATGCATATTATATGTGGTTGCCTTGAATGGTCTGCATTTCACACGCGTCCGCCAAAATTAACATTGAATGCACATTTGAAGAAGAAAAAGTATCTACACAACAAATCAGTAGAGGCTGTGAGCCATGTAGGTGAAACACTGTCATATGTAGCGTTAGAACACAAATGTATGCATGAATGCATGCATCCAAACTTTCGCCTCAGGATTTCGTGCTGAACCGTACATTCAGATCTACATTGTATATATGCTTGATGTGCTTGACGCGTTTCAGCTCTATACCGACAAGGGGGCGGTGGAGTAACCTAGTGGTTAAAGCGTTGGCTCGTGACGCCGAAGATCCTGGTTCGATTCCCCACATGGTTACAATGTGTGAAGCCCATTTCTGGTGTCCCCCGCCGTGATATTGCTGGCATATTGCTAAAAGCGGCGTAAAATCATACTCACTCACTACATTGTATATGCTTGATCTGCTTGACGTGTTTCAGCTCTATCCCGACGAACCAGTCTGAAAACCTGAAACGCTTGTATAAACCTTGCAGTGCTTCCGTTCGTCTGCAGCAACCCATGATTGTCGTAAATTTTTGATGCGTCAAACGGGATCAGATGGCAGGGTTCGTTGATATTGATGCTCGTCACCGTATCCCAGCTCATCGATGCTCAAAATACCTATCACCGGATTGCCTGGTCCAGATTCTCATTCCGATACCATACCTGTCTGGGTCGCGGCCTCGGCTAAGCCAACCCAATAGGTCGCGTAGGGTGCAGTCTCATTAACAGCAGATCAGAAGGGGAGCGAGAACTTAGATCTGATTTCGAGAATGCGTCAGATGAACCATGAGAAAACTTGGACCGCCCAATCTAACAGAAGGACGTGTCAGTTTTGGAGCCAGGCATCTGCCAACTTCCCTAAACGTTTCAGCTTCAACTCATCGCTTCGATTCGGAAACCTCGATTTGTACAAATATTAAACTATACTAACACAAATATTCCCTGGATAGCTCTCGCGTTAGGCTAAGATGAGATTAAGCGTATAGCCAATAATGGAGTGAGTGAGTTAAGTTTTACGCCGCACTCAGCAATATTGGGTATAGCAAATAATACGCAATGCGTGTAACGTATGTTATATTTGCGATTACATTTTTCTTTGAAGTACAGAACCTTGAACACATTCGTGACCAACTCGTGTTATTCCGGGACAAGCCGAATAGCGGTTACAGAAAGGGGCGAGTGGTGACGAATGCCTTGAACATTTTGGGGGTGCGTCCCCTGCGCAGTTGTTTTCATAAAATATAATGGAAAGGTTAGTAAGTAAGTTTAGAATTACGCCGCTTTTAGCAATATCACGGTGGGGGACACCAGAAATGTGCTGCACACATTCTACCCGTGTGGGGAATCGAACCCGGGTCTTCGGCGTGACGAGCGAAATCATGGAAGGAGCCCTGGGACTTTCTTCCTGAAAATGTGGTGATATTGTGCCTCATAGTCCAGACGTGTATCAGCATTATTGGGTGTATATATTTCAGGATCTGTATGACAGACTATGTAGATACCAAGGGCGAGAGAAGCTGTAATATCGCTGTGCCTCATGTAAGTCTAACTAAGGTGCTCCGTAGGAGTCAACAGTTTAACCACTTACGCTTCCCTCACCAGGGTAGGAGTGAGTGAGTGAGTGTGTTTTACGCGGATTTTAGCAATATTACAGCAACATCACGGCGAGGGACACCAAAAACTGGCTTCACACATTGTACCCATTTGGGGAATGCAACCGCGTCTTCTGCGTGACGAGTAAACGCTTTAACCTCTTCCCATTCAACACAACAAACACATCCAAACTAAGAGAAACGGTTTATTTACAATATTGCCATGATTTAGAAACATTGTAGTTTATACACTGATACCAGTAAAACAGTAACCTTGCACAGCCATCAAAACACACAACACACTCCAGGTAAATACTTACAACACAATAGTTTCAATGAAATGCTACAGCGACATGCATTTCCTCCAGAGTTGGGAGTTTCATCACTGAGAGTACAGCCAGTTGAAGAGTATACACTGATATGGCCACTTTCGTTTTATAAATGTATAAAAAGTTTTGAAATTTTTTACTTTTAGTATTGAAATCACATTCAATGCTTCAGTTTTGGTTTTTTTAAAATAGGAGGTGTTTATACCTCCCCAGTCATGTCCCGAACTGGGAACTGTGGTAAATAGAGAGTACCCCAAATCACAGAAAACAATGTTCGTTTCTAAACCTAGAGATATATGTTGAGCCAACCTGTTAAAAAGAATTACTCAATGGACAAACTGGCGCTGAACAACGATTTATGTGCAACAGATGAACATATCATCACTGAGTGTTAACAACAACAATGTTCACGATAAACAGTTTGGGACACTGAAACACAGTCAAGGGAGATAACTCTTGATAACCATCACGTCTTAAAATCTTGACTCCACTGTTACCACTTGTCTGTTATTGTCAAATGGATCTCTTTTATAAATTGCAAATATAAGAAACAGATTGTGTCTTTAGAAATTGCTCCAATGATGAAGAAACAAATTTTACGTTTCCTCAGGGATCAGTTTCAATGTAATGCCAGGCAGTGTTCCATAATAAAATGAACACAAAAACAAACATGAATTCTAAACTCAACAGCCACTGGCTGGGTCTGTTTCCTAAGCCATTCCCACAGACACTGCATCAATCCAACCACAACGATACACAAATGATCATGCACAATACTTCAAAGGTCTGTATACACCATACTCTACCATCTGCTGTGTGGATTACACACGACCACTTCTTAGTTGAGTCATGTTTGTTAATCAGTGAATCAAATTATGGCTCCAGCAAGAAAGAAACCAGCAATGTGTGTCCCATGAAAGCTAACATTTACATCACAAACACTGTAATACACCCTGCTACATGTGCAGGAGCCTTGCAGACATCTACTCTAAAAAACTGCTTTAGTATCAGGCAACAGTAGAGTTCACACATTTTGGGCTGTGGCTTAGTAACCAGCATTTTCCATTGGCCTATAAACAACATAAATAACTACATCCCATGAGTGAGTGAGTATGGTTATAAGCCGCTTTCAGCAACATTCCAGCAATATCACAGCGGTGGACACAAGAAATGGGCTTCACGCATTGTACCCATGTGGAGAATCGAACCCGGTTTTTCGACGTGACGAACGGATGCTTTAACCACTAGGCTACCCTACTGCCCCTACATGCCATGAAGCAGTATTTATAGCCTGATGAATATGGTGAACAAACCTGTGAACTATTGACCATGACAAGTAAGGTGAATGATCAGAGTGTACAAGTGCTGGATACCACAATAATTACTTCAACATTCATTCATAAATAGAGACACATAAGAAATGTACACTCCTGTGACGAACACTCCTCATACCAAGAAGAGGAAAATCTTTGTGATCCATTAGAACATGAAGCAGATGATCGGAGATTAAAGATGACACAAAAGGTGGTTATCTTTTCAACTCTGCTCCAAGAAATTGATGCCAGATTGAATTATACACACATACAACTGACAGAAAAACACAAATCTTTCTAATTAATTCTGGACATGGCAGGTATTGGATCACGCTGCTCCTGTATGGAGAAACATAGAAGACAACGCTGTCCTTATAGTCCTTACCATGCATAAAAGCATTGCATCTGTAATATTATTTTTCATTATTTTCACGCATACTGAAATTCTATCACATATTCAAATCGAAAAGTTCTGTCCTGTAAGCAACCTATCTGGATTTAATATATAAAACTAACATACTGGAACATATTTAAAAGAATATTAGCAAATTCTAAAAACAATATGGCACAAGATCTTTTAGTGAATATGCGGTTTCAGTGCTTTTTGACATTAAGAAGAAATCTTACCCTGCTTTGTTAAAATAAAATAATGAAATTTGAAAGTATTAAAACTATGTTAGCTCAAAGGTGGATATAGGGGCAAAGTTTCATGAAGGGATTAATTAATGTTTTGGTTATGGATTCCCACACAAAATATGACGGAGACATGAAGCGGGATGAAGCTTATTCATACATGCCCTTCTAACTTACTGGTAGTAACAGGGAAGGAAATCAACCAGAACTAGCTCTCACCATTCAACTAGATATAAATTAAATTGTCCTCAGTTGAATAGTAAGTAATAATCTCAAGTAAGTAATTTCCAATACACACCAAAGTGGATAAAAATTCTTACACAAAAGACAGCATCATATTCTCTGTTTAGCTTCAACTAATTGCATTAAGAATCAATCTTACCAACTATTTATTGTACACCATAGATCTACACATACAGGTCTCAAATATGAACACTATGAATTTTGACAAGCAATCAGCAATTACACAACTTTTTCACAGTCATAAAGTATTGTTGCAAGAGATGCACTCCCCTTTTAGCAATAAACAAGTGTCATAAAAACCTTTTGAAATAACATATAGAATTCTGTCTCTGCCTAAATGAGTGATACAATATGCCTAACAAATGGCTTAAACTCAAGACTTTCTCTTGGAACTTTGTTTAGATTTGATGGGTTTTCTTGCATCGCCACCGCCAAAGAAGTTGGTGAACATCTCGGACATGTCAGGCATGTTGGGCTTGGAGTTGAGGGCGCTCATCTGAGTCTGCATCTCCTGATAGAAATAAACATGATGCTTCAATTTCATTATAAAGAGTCGTAGTGCTGGAAGCTGGTACCACATAACATAAGGGTACTTTGGGAACAAACCATTCCTTAATGTTGTGTTCTGACATGCTCAATACCCACGGTCCGGGTCAGAATTGGTCTTACAACCTGTCATTGTCATAAGCTTGTCATAAGAGGCGACTGAGGGATCGGGTGGTCAGACTCGCAGACTTGGTTGACACATGTCATTGTATCCCAATTGTGGAGATCAATGCTCCTGCTGTTGCTCACTGGATTGTCTGGTCCAGACTCGATTATTTACAGACCTCCACCAGATAGCTGGAATATTGCTAAGTGCAGCGTTTAACAACAACAACAAAAACAGACATGCTCAAATCCATGAGATCCACTTCACATAAATGATGTGCAGGTTTGTCCTGATGGGGTGGTAGTGAACCGTATAGGGGCTGAATGAATATTTCACTTGTGAGGGCTAAAATGTCTACATTACTCATCAGGTTACAGCAATGGTAAATCCACAAATGACTGACCAGGAAGAGAACATAACATTCTAGGATCAAAATAAGATAGTCACACAACTCACATGGCTTGATACGCAAAAGATAATAGCATCAAGGCATATTTTGCTGCTTCCAGGGCCACCGCACTATAGAAAAGGATTCTTTTATATAGAGTTAAAACCCTGTCCCTGTGACAGTAAATATGTTGATACTAATTTTTTGGTGTTAAAAGCTAGAGTATCACCTGAGGTCCTGCAATATGATTTTCGTCCAAAACAGACTGATGATACCTCTGGTATCATCACATATTTACAACAAATGAGGAAATCCTTGAAACACATTTCTAAACATTCTTGCGAAATCCTTCGAAAATAATCAAAAATCAATCGAAAGAAGGATTAAAAATGATTATCAATTGTAAAAAACATATTTTCGATTAATCGGAATTTTGTTGTTTTTGTATAACACCCTTGAATGAAGTAAACTAACCATCAATTTTTACGAATATTCACGAACAAAGAAGCGCTCAACAATGCACATTGTAAAATTTTAACCACTTTTATTCTTTAATTACAATTCCAGTGTCTTTCTTGCATGCGTACATTTCATTGCATGACAGCATTAGTTATAAAACACCCAATTAATTAGAAAAAACTGGGGAAAAACCCTTAAAATTGGTGATTACATAAATGTACATTCAAAATGTATATATTTCGATTATAATTGATAATCGTTCACCACAATCCTCCAATAATCGATAGTGGATTTGGTTTCCGATTCCCAACACTCTTATCTCAACAACTTGCACTAACTGAATTTAAAAATACTAAAAATTACTATTGTAATGTGGAATTCCCATGTGGACAGCAGTTTTAGTACGAGTCTGAAATAGGAATTGATTTTTACCTTCTGTGTCTCAGGGTCAGCTGCATTCAGCATCTTTGGTAACACCATGATGAGAGCCAGGGGCAGCACCATTGTCAGAACCTGCAACACCATGTGTAATGTCTCAAAATAGTCACCATGGCAACAGTACATCAGATAATAATACACTGTCACAGCAGCTAAGTAGTGACTGAAGTGAAATAGATTCATAAGTCACATGTGTATAGAGTATGTCATGCCAAAGGCAAGGAAATGTTGTAGGCATGTTTTCATTATCACCATGATCATGAATATTCAAAATCAAAATTGTTACTGTTACAAGATTATTCTTTCCAGCAATATTATGTCATTCTGCAACTTTCATTTAAAATTCAATTACCCCGCAAGCATGTCAAGTTACCAAAAATGTTTATCATGGATAAATCACATGTCCTCTGTCATTCTTCAGAATGATATCTTCCTGTAAAAATCTAATATGTGGAAAGATAACTGCAACACAAGTTAAGATACAAGACCTAAAAGTTATTTCGCTGCCCATCATTTGTGAGTGGGTGAGTATGGTTTAATGCAGCGTTTAGCAATATTCCAGCAATTTCACGGCCGGGACACCAGAAATGGGCTTCACACCTTGTACCCATGTGGGGTATCGAATCCAGGTTTTCGGCGTGACGGACGAACACTTTAACCACTAGGCTACCCCACCCCATATGGTTAACTAACACAGATTAAGGGAGTGAGTTGGGTTTTACATTGCTGTTTGTAAAATTCCAGGGGGCACCAAACCTGACTCCCCACATTGTACCCATTGAGGACTGGAAGCATTACCTTTTTAAGTGAACACTTTAAACATGTTAAACCAGAACTCCACAAGAGTGGATCACAGTAAACATGAGAAAAAATCATAAATCTTGTCACCACCCTATCTTAATAATAGTTGATAACAAAAAAGCTAGTTAACACTGTATGTTAGTTATTAAATGAGTGATATTATCTTTCAATACGTCCAGCAGTGTCCACTGATCTTTACAAAGCTCACACCATATGCATGACATGGAACAGACAAGAAAATACAAAGTGAAAGTGACAAAATATACCATTGGGTGGAATAGGAAGTCCTGCACTCGCCACTGTTCTCTGGCCTGGAAGTAGTTAGCTTTGCCCCTTTCCCGGAACTCCAGGGGGTAGGGCATGGCCCTCACATTGTTAGGCTGTAGGTGGTTAACTTTTCGAGCCCGGATCTTTCCCTTTGATGTGATGTCTACTCGGGCTGCTTCAAACAGGTATGTGGGGTTGGCTATTTCCACAATGAAGGAACCGGAGGGTAAACCATTGACAACAAAAGAGCCATCGCTTCTGTTAAATAAGAATAGAAACTATTAGCATTCATCATATTCATAGGTATGATATATTCTGGTAACTTGCACAATAAATATGACATATCAAATGACAAAATCAAAGCCATATTCAAAACAATCATAGCCTTTGCCTCAGAGGAAAAGGAGAGGCAGGCCCAAAAACACCATGCGATGCGACCTCAATGGTGATTCACTTGGAACCAGCTGGAGAGGAAAGCCCAGGATCTGTTGTGGACAGCCTTTGAGGGGAGTCAGGCCTAAGAGAGTCTTTGCCTGCGTGCTTCAGCGTATTCAAATGATACATAGTTGTGCATGATTTTGCATTCACTCTGACGACAAGAATCTTATCGACCTGTTCAAGCCAACATTGAGCATTGTTTTCCCAATCAATCAATAACTAAGTATGATCAATTTCAGAGAAAGACAAACCCATCTCCAAACAACATAAACCTCGGCTAGAATGCACTTTACCGGGCGCAGCCCTCTTTGCTCCCTCCACGATCCTTAGGGTTAGGGTTTAGGGTTAGGGTATGGCACTCTTTACGATCCTTAGGGTTAGGGTTTAGGGTTAGGCACCCTTTACTATCCTTGGGAGTACTGCACTTTACCGGGCGCACTTTTTCAGATTAATTAGCGCTGCTGGGTTTCCCTAACCCTAACCCCTAACCCTAAGGATCGTAAAGGGTTTCTAACCCTAAGGATCGTAAAGGGTGCCTAACCCTAAGGATAGGGCTAGAATGCACTTTACCGGGCGTGCTATTGAAAAGGGGTGTTTAATTGGCAAGTTGTAAACCAGTTGCCTGTTATGTTTTATTCTGAGGTTTAGGGAGGGTTAAAGTGCATTCTAGCCAGGGTTAGTAAAGTTACCAGATAATGGATAGCGATCTCTTTGGGTCATTAAATCCCTTGTAATTTCGTGGAAAACTGTATATTTGTATTAAGTATCAACAAAAGAAACATCAGAGATGAAAGGCTTACGGTGAAAGCTAACTGATGTGTCGGTTGTAGCTCAAAAACAATAAGGAGACATAATGAAGCCATTTGCATTGACTCGGTTTACCTCAAATATGCGACGTAATCATCGCCGTCCACCAGGATCCGAGTGTTAGACATCCAGCTTTTATCGTGTGATGATAAAATTTCAACTTTCCCTTCTATTTTGAAATTGGAACTGCTGTTGGTTTCCACAACATCTGTGGAATGTACAAAACAGAGTACACAGCTGAAAACGACTAAACAGCACCAAGCATCCATGTTGGACATAACCGGAAGTGATGCATAGGGAGGGTTCGGCCGCTTATATCAAATTAAAACAAATGTGCGCAATACCCCTTTCTGTACCGCTAAAACTATAAACATATCATCACTGTACTCAAGATGTAAATCTAAGTGTTTGGGCTTAACCATGTAAGTCAGCATTGAACTGGGAACTTTTTGTTAGTGATACAGGTGTTTAAGGGGTCAACCGGAAGCACATGACGTTCGCTCTAATATTGATTGGTGTAGTTTATAAACTGAACAAATATCAAGTTGATTACATAACACACATGCTGCGCTTGCAATGCACCAGTGACAGTATGTAAACAAACAATGCCTCTGTTAATTGCATCCGTTGCTCAATATTGGTTCTTTTGATCTCAGCAATTTGTATCTTAGATCTCGAGTTCTTGATTGAAATTGTGTTTTCATTTACTGAGATTTGGCTCTTGTTACGCTTTGCTACGTGATATATATGAGAATTTGTGAATGCTTTGGCACTTACGAGACTGAATAAACAATATTATTAATCTGACAAAACAATTCCCCTTTAGGTTTCTTTCAACGGTAGACTTCTCTATAATAATGGCAACATTGTGGGTTGTTTTGATATTCATTTATATTAGATTTACATTTATTAAATGATCATTGTTTCAGGTGGTGCAGAACCTAGCCAAAGTATGTTCATCATGTCTTGGTGCACAATGCCATATATTATTTGAAAATATTGCACCTCAAGCAACTTCAAGCTAGCCTTCGCAAGCAGGTATGTATTTTAACATATTTAGTGGGTTTCTTTGATTGGCATTATAGAAGTTGAGGAGATGAAGAATGAGGACAATTTTTATGGATATACAGCTTCATTATTCTGCTCTTTGAATGGCATTTAGAAGTTATACACATATGGAAGAGAGTTTTTATGGATGTCAACTTCTTTGTTATACCTGAACACAACGTTTCGGAGTATATCCTTACACCTTCATGATACTACTCATTCACCTGATGAGTACCATGGCATGGTATAGGAATAGCACAGGTGAAATATTTTCAGTGTGCCCAGGTTGCACAACTAGAATTGTGAAAATAATACACACCATGATTCATTTCATGACAAATGCGATATATTTGACAAGCTAAAATGATTCAAAACTTAATAATGCACCTAATCAAACTGTTAATTTGTGGCACTGTCACAACTTTTTGAATGCATCGAAACAAGAAATCCCATTTTGGATGATAACATAGTTTGTGGTATAAATCCAGGACAAATGAAGTTGAACTATTCTTGCAGTCTTAATTAATAGTGTTCAGGAAATCCAGCTCTCAAGTGTACAGGTTTACATGATGTTTACTGATTTATTAAACAATGAATCGAAATGATGTTTCAATGTTTTAAGTTTCATTGGATCATCAAAAGGTATGGACACACTTACTTTCACAAAGGCATGCTTAAATTATCTGTCTGGTGTCTTATGGCATCCTTTGAAAAAAGTGCATTTCTGTCGAAGCCCATTAATGGTGCTAGATGCATTGGAAATTCTGTGTTAATGTCAAATGACACGTCTTTTACCCAAGAAGCTAAGGTCAGCTTCACCCATTGTTTCAGGTATGTCGGACAAGGTGGCCAACAGCAGGACAGGAGGACTTGATGGGGACGTGGAAGTGACTTCCAAAGCTGTGGAAGCTCACCCTACAACCACAAAGTCATGGCAGACGGTCAACAAACGTTTGTTGCCTGTGAAAGGATATTATTTTTTCTTCTTAGCAGGTGAATATGTTTGCACAGAGTGATTGTAAATGTCATGTCTCAGGTTGTAGTAAACAAATATGCTGATAACAAAGTGATGGAAGTAAGACAATGTTGATTTGGTCCTGGTCACTTTCTGTATATTTTAGTCGAAATGCCAACAACAAAACTGTTCTGAAACAAACTTAGATTTAGTGGTCCCTTCCAATATATGGTACATGTAGTTTACTGTATATTACCGATGGGGGCTAAATGGGATCTTCTAGGCCCCTTCCTCAAAGTGATGTTTTGTGAAGCCCATTTCAGGTATCCCCAGCCGTGGTATTGCTGGAATATTGCTAAAAACGGTGTAAAATCATACTCAGTCAGTCAGTCAGTGAGTCAAAGTGACTTTAGCTCCAAGACGATGGTAACGCTCATAATTTTACGCTGACTTAGGACAGTCATAGCACTAAGCTCACTGTGTGAAACAGGGATTGTTCTGTTTGTCGGGGGAGCTGGGGTTGTCTTGTGGGTAATTATGTGTCCCCGCTGTGATATTGCTGGAAGTGGCATAAATACTCACTCTTCCCTTCACCTCTGACCTCTGAATGTGAAATAATTTGTCCCTCATATCAGTTCAACTTCTTCTTTCAGCTGTCGGGGACCTGCTACCCTTCATCTCCATCTACATGAAACAACTCGGCCTGTCGTCTGGAGAAACCGGCATCATCTATGGAGTAATGCCTTTCATCGCCTTCTTCATCCGACCACTGATAGGAGCAATGGCCGACCGCCTGCGGAGACACACCCTGGTGTTAATGGCCTTCACCATACTGACGGGGATCCTGTACATGATGCTGTTGATCGTACCGGCCAAGCCTCACTACGAGGATGCAGTTCCTGTCAGGTTCAACATCCACTGCAATATCATAGACTCCTTCATCAAAGACTGCCAGGAGTACAGAGACAACAAGAATGAATGCAGGCTCACGTTGTCGGAATACGCCAATTTGACTTCAATGGAAAACGAATCTAAGAATGTATCTGACGGTTCATTGGGATATCAGATTCTTAACAATGGAAACACAAATGCAGTTTCGGATGACATCACATGCCGTGCCAAATGTGGGTTCTCAATGCCGGGAGCGTATGGATCGAAAGTTTGTTTTTCACGAGACATTTCTTCTTACCAGAACAGGAAGTGTGTGCCCTTGTGGGTTAGCTCAACATCAAATTCTTACCTTGAATTCAATTTGCTCAATGTATCTGATGTGATGATGCACGAAATACAAAAAGACAGAATCGCAGCCCCTTCACTGCATTGCCGTGACTACGACTTAAAATGGATGCAGTACAACGGTAAAACCTTCTACCAGATCACGTGTGACAAGGAAAGCGTTCTCCACTGCAATGCTCTCTGTGACAGGAATATTGCCAACAGGTGTTCTGTGAAGAAAGCAAAAGATTCATTTGGAAAGACATTCTGGGTATTTTTTGTTATCTACTTAATCGGAAACATAGCCTTTGCTCCTACATTCAGCCTTATTGACGCTATTGTGTATGACACTCTTGGTAAAGAGAGGCATCGGTGGGGATTTCAGCCCCTTTTTGGCACAATCGGTTTCGCACTTTTTGCAATTACTTCCACATTCATTATGGACACTGTGAAGACCAAGAAAGAAGAAGTTGACTTCTCATGGTCCTTTTACCTCTTTGGTATCCTCTGTCTAATAGCAGCAATTGATGCCAAGTTTCTCATAGTCACCCCTGATATATCCACAGGCAAGTTTCTCCGAAATATCTGCAAACTCTTCACATACTTCCACATTGTGGTGTACCTGTTTGTAGCCATGTTTTTCGGGATGTTGACAGGAGCCATCGAAGGATTCTTGTTCTGGTACCTCAAAGACCTTGGCAGCACTCAGATCACCCTTGGGTTATGTTTAGTGTTGAACTGTGTTTTTGAAGTGTTCTGTCTCTTTATATCAGGCTTTGTCATCAAGAAGATAGGTCATATTCCGTGTTTGTATTTGGCGTGCTTGGCCTATGCAGCTCGCTTCCTTGCATATTCCTTCCTCCAACAACCGTGGTATGTCATGCTGGTGGAGCCAGTCCATGGCATCACTTTCGGCATCATGTGGTCAGCTGTATCATCCTATGCTAGCATCATCGCACCTCCAGGCATGCAGGCAACCGTGCAGGGCCTTGTGGGAGGACTCCATTTTGGATTTGGTGAGTATTGTGGATGTGATTTGTTTTACAATATCTTTCTTCCAATAACTTTGGTGCAGGACAGCCCATTATTGTAGATGAGGTAGGTATGTGTGGGGGTGGGGTGGTCTAAAATGTTTTAAGATAGCTTTCTTTAGTTTGTTTCAAATAATACAGGTACTGTTGATGATGACACAGGGGTTTCAAGAGTTTATTGAAGTGAATCTGAAAAGCATAAGTGTTAACATGCATATGCCAGTTACAGTCATGCACTTTCAGTTAGCAATAGTATAATAGTTAACAGTCTAAGTAAACTTAGGCTCAGTATCTGCTATACTGAGTCTTAACAAACCCTAGTGGAAGGTTACGTCAACTAACCTTTTGAATTGACCAATCAGGACACAGCTTACCAAATTGTGAAAGTCAACATTTGAACTTTTACCTCAAAAACATTTGTACTTGACCGATTTCGAATGCTATTATCCGCATGATCACTTCCGACTGATACACAAGAGTGTAGTCGCTGAAAATAGCATTTTTGTCAATATTCCAGGATGGCATCTTGCAGAAATATAGCTAACAGTAATCATGTCATCAGAAACCCCTAAGCGTATATACTGCAGGTCAAATATCTGTGTTGTATGTGGATTTTCGTTTTTGCCATTTTGTAAGTCCCGGTGAACCCTACATAGTAGCCGTTGTCTGATTGGTTAAATCCATTCGGCCATCTCACGTTTGATTGGATGGTCATACATCGCTCAAAGATTAGCTGACATGACCTTCTACTAGGGTTTGTTAGACTCAGTACAGCAGTGTAATGAATAATACTGAGCTTAAAGTTTATTTAGACAGGAGTCAACAAAATCATGATATTGATTTCATTGAACCATTTCTCAAAATCTAACATATTTACAATTTCTTTTGTTATTTCCACTCAACAATGGTTTTATTAATATTAACTACAATTCAAATAACAAATGTTTGTTAGTATGTGTAGAACCACTCACACGTTGAAATTCAGCAGTATATTTGACAAATGCTGCAAAATTTAAAATTAAAAAGGTTCAGAATAATGTCTGCACAAAACGTTACTTTCTGCAAGATGTCTTCACTGAAAGGAAATTTCAACAAAATGTATTCATCCCGGGGAACCAGACTGGTCCATGTGTGAAGTATGCCATGATAAAGATTACCATGTCCATTTGTACTCTAACTGACTGACTGACTGAGTTTGGTTTTACGCCGCTTTTAGCAATATTCCAGCAACATCACGGCGGGGGACACCAGAAATGGGCTTCACACATTGTGCCCATGTGGGGACTCGAACCCGGGTCTTCGGCGTGACGAGCCAACGCTTTAACCATTAGGCTACCCCACCGCCCCCATTTGTACTCTAAACTAAAGTACTGTCGGAAATAGAAAAAAACTGTATTTTCTCATTTATCTCTACAATTTATGTAGTTGATATGTGCAAGTGTGAAATATCTGTTTAACAAAGTTCGGCCTAACTACAGTCTCAGTGGTAGGGACATAGGAAACGTAGAAAAAGGACTTTACTGAGGAGAGATTAGTGCAGAAATGAGCAATGCGGTTTTTTTGTAAGTCCAAAACGATATATTTAGAACAGACCATGGCCTTATGTAAATTAGTGTGCGACAATATTGTATTACAAAGGACACTTTTTAATGCCCAATTTGTAATTAGACGTAGCTTCATTTATAAACGATAGCTGGCGTAAAAAATAATAACTTTCATGCTGAAACTATTAAGGATGTAGCTACCATGGAGTCTCTCTGTCACTATAAAAAGAAACAGATAGCAAAACATGGACGGGGTGTCGCAGACGATCGTTGGGGTCGGGCTGGGGAATAGAGATATCAGCTAAGATGAGATAATCCTTTAGGGTAATTATACTGGGGAAGTACACGACATCTCATAGCAATTTACAAATAATATCCAGTCCTGTCGATCTTCGTGATCGGGTGGTTATGCCACCTATATATTGAGACATTTATTGAGACATTTAATACGATGCGTTTATATGGTTATCAGGTATCATACTCTTTTACATATCTCAACATAACCTTTATGAAAGAAAGACACGTAAGATGTTAATCAATAGATGAGGCATAGTCAACACACATGAAAAAGCACAAAATATCTTTGAGATGACCCCTTGGGCGCCTGTAGGCAGCACATGCATTTCATGCCAGGTGAGTCGACGGTCCGTAGTCATACCTTCATGCCTCATGTATGGTAGCCTGGGCTCCAGATAATTTTTCAACATCAGGAGTACATAGTCCTTACTTTTTCAATATAGGAGTACTGGAAAAATTTAAGAGTACATTTAGAGTACTGAATGGAACCTGGGTACCTCATGTTTCAGGTAAAGGTATCGGAAGTCTAATCACTGGGTACCTCTTCGAGCTTATCGGAGAGAGATGGACGTTCCGGGCGTTGTCCATATCAGCTGTGGTGCTGTTGATTGTATACTGTCTGCTGAACAAGTTTGTTTTGGAATATCCATCAGTGAAAGATGCAAGAGACGACACAACTGCTGAGGTGGAAGGTAAGGCAGAATTTGTTTACAACGTCATTACTTCTTGTTTAACTCAGCAATATTATAGCTATGTGACATCGACATTTATCACTAGACTACAACATATATCCACGGCATGACTCATGACATAAAACATGATGATGATGATGATGATGCAGTGATGAAATTGACGCTGATCTTGTGGTCTCTGGCTAGTAAAAATTCATCAGGACCACTAAATGATAAGTTTGCAGTGGTCCTGGTGGCCAGTGAATTTTGTATTGATAGTTAAGTAAACCTACAAATATCATTTTGGACCAGTGAAGTACAAACAGGACCACTAGTTATTGTCCACTCACTGGTCCTGTGATCTACTGGGAAATTTTGAAAGGTTTCTTTCCCTGTTCAGATGATGATGATGATGATGATGATGATGATGATGAAAGGATGTGTTGTACACCCGTAACTTTTTTTTAGAATACCCCATGTTTCCAGGTTGTATGATAAGAAAACACATTCTGATTGTCACTTTCTCAATCTGGTAAGCGACACTCTGACACTTCAATGTCTCATTGGAAGTCTTCAGATGATTGTGGTAGCTTTGAATGAGTTATGATTTTTGTAGAGAGTATTCTTGGAGTCATCTGCCTTGTTGCAAAAAGTGGCATAAGCCTAAGGGGACCGTTCATAATTTTGATGCATGGCGCATCGTCTTGGCAGTGATGTTTTATGGTGAAGCATGTACAATGTGAATGACCCCCTAAATATATTTACAAAATAAGTGACCCCTGCATGTCATGTATAAAATCAATGACCCCTCCCTTCCCATAATTTCTAAGCATAATTTTAAACATACTTTTATGTACAAAATTGCTGCCTCCCCTAGTACGTGTGTACAAAAGTGCTGCTCCCCAGACCAAAATGGATGGAACCCCTTAAAATAAATCATCACCCCCCTAGCCATAAATTATGAACGGTCCCTAATTTATTCATTTTGTCAGGTTACCATTTCTGACACAGACTGTTGGATTATGTAACTGAAATCCTGCAGCATATGGTCATTCACATCTGTCTGTGTGTCTGTGGTTATCATATTGATAGTTTAAACACACTGACTAATCTAGTTTCATCTCAAATTCTTATGTCATTGTTATATGTTTGATTCACCAGAAACAACAGAAGATGGCCTGTCTGCTGCTCAGGATCACCTGCTTAGTTCAGATCCCTCAGCCAATCAGGAGGAGTTTCAATCTGATGCAGCCAATGAGAAAAAAGTTCATGACCTCTAGACTGTTGACAGGAGCCTTCTGGGTGACAGTCTGTGTTCACAGAGTGAACTGTTGTGAAAAAGAATAAATTAAAGTTTTATAATAATCAACTCTGCCATGACAAATACATGGCACTAAGGCTGGATGATTATTTGAAAGATTTGTTTATTTTATTTAAACATTTAAATGATTTTGCATGAAAATATATTCCCGGAGAAAAATCATGACAGTTTGACCAAAGCTTATAAGTATTCTCTATTACATTTCATGACTGAAGTTTATTTTGTGAATGTATAACACTCGATGATCTCCTTACATAGGAATTAGAATGTTGGTAGGTAGTTGTTATTTTTGTTGAAAATGATTCATTTTGACAAGATAATTGTCATTTTTAAAGGATTAATATTATTCAATAATGAAACCAATTTTGCCAATACTACTTTGATTTTTATCAAAAATATTTGTTTTATTGTTTATAGTTTCAATATTTTAGATACATGTTATTGTTTTTCTAATCCAAGGGAGGTAATGTCAAATGGAATTTCTAATCAGCCAATCAGTGTCAAACAGTTAGATACTTGACGTGAGTAATCATTCTGAGCAGTATATCTTGGTTCCTGTATCAGCAAATCAATGATAAACAGGCAGTTCTGAATGCAAAGTGATAAAGGTGATTTTCTTATTTTGTCCTAGAAATAATATATACCCTGAGCACATCTGCACCCAAAAGGGTGGATATCAAACTCACCTTTATGACTTCTTTGTTTTCTTTTGTTACGGAAAGAAAGAAAGAATGTTAATTGAACTGTTTTGGAAATCTGAGATCTGATTGGCCAAAGAATCCACACATCCCTCATTTTAGTTTGATGTTCAATGTCAACACAGGTGCACTTGATTCATGGCGTGTCCAGATTTTCACTCACAGAGGTTTCATATCAGAGTACAAGATCTTGTTCTGATTATTAGGATTTCAAAGTAGAAAATAGATGGCATTGAACATTGACAGTATTAACTGTTTTCAACCAGTCACTGTTTTTGAACAAAAGGTCATATGTGTGCTGTAATTTTATATGACTTGTGTTGAAATCTGTGTAATCAGTAACTGTTACAATGTGTCATATTCCTTGCTACTTTACACCTGAGGCAATGCTTGGCACTACTACCCTCTATATACCTGTGCTGGTCCACTTGCACATAGCAATTCTTGTGCTAATAAAACTGTTTTATGCCTGTGTTCATGTATAGGGGTTAGTTGTTTTGATCTAAGGCCATGTTATCTCTGAATTAATGTATGGGAGTTAGGGTAGGTTTTGTTTTTATCTAAGGCCATGCTATCTCTGACCTAATGTATGGGAGTTAGGGTAGGTTTTGTTTTTATCCAAGGCCATGCTATCTCTGACCTAATGTATGGGAGTTAGGACATTGTTTGGTTTTTTCTAAAGCCATGTTATCTCTGACTTAATATATGGGAGTTAGGACAGGGTTTGTTTTTTTCTGAGGCCATGTTATCTCTGAATTAATGTGGGGAGTTAGGGTGAGTTTCGTTTTTATCTAAGGCCATGTTATCTCTGACCTAATGTATGGGAGTTAGGACATTGTTTTTGTTTTTTCTAAAGCCATGTTATCTCTGACTTAATGTGTGGGAGTTAGGATAGTTTTTTATTGTCTAAAGCTATGCTGTCTCTGACTTAATGTATGGGAATTAGGGTAGGTTTGTCACATGTCTAACCACAGGTCTGGGTAGATCTATGGATACCCGGGGTGTACTTAGAGGCCAGCCAATGACTCAAGTTACCTTCCCAGCCCTAGTGACATCAATCAACAGTTGTGTGTGGGGACTTTCTTAGGACTTTTGTATTTTCTTACTGTTCAGTGTTTTATTTGTTCACGTAACATCTCATGTTCACAATGATTGTGTTCTGGTTGTGAGTTCTCCTGAAGAGTCCATTTTTATCTATATGCATACAAAGCCTTGTTATTTCCTGTCAAGAACATCTCACATGTACATGCTCAAAATACAAATGTTTTAGTTTCAATCATCATGTGTTTGGATACGAAATTCATGAGCATTTCTTGTCAGGTCATTCATGATGGTAATATGTCTAAAATAGTTTACATATCAAGACCTGTGTTGAGATTTGTTTACAGGGACATGACCTTTCTGTAGAATTGGTCTTCCTTTGCTTAAATCATATCACAATCTTATTTTATAATTGTCTGTTATAACACTAGTGGCCAGCACATATATGCTACCACAGTTTACTGTGTGGAGTTGCCTACCCTGTCCATTGCAGGATTTGCTGATCATGGGTTCAAAACAGAGGTACAGCTTGATCCTAAAATGTTAGAGATTTTTTTACCTGCATCACTTTAAGCACATATAGCTGACAGACTTGTCATGCCCACCACTTTTGATCCCAGATTCTGCTGTTGATTCATGTTTACTGAACAACAATTTTATGTTTGTTTTTCATTGTACTTGTTGTTTGCATAATACAAAGTGTGTTTTTTAATTACTTGGTTGACAGATCTGCTAGCTGTAATACTTTACCAATGTGGATCTTGTTGACATGTTCCTATAATTATTGCAGAGCTGGCAACACATTAGTAGGCCAGTAAGGAAGGGAAGTAACTCTGTTATTTCGGGAACATTTTCTCTCTGATTATACATTTTCTTTAATCCTCTCTGACAAAATTCATTTGAGCACTTAAAAGAGACCTTGTTGTTTTTATGCTTTTGTTAATTTTGTTCCAACACAATGCCAAATATCAGTGTTCATGCCAGATACTCAACTGACGATTTTGTGTTTCAAAACTAATTGTTTGTACTGGATTACTTTATCTGTTTAATTTTTTGTTACCTTATATAAAGTGTTCATATTTCCAGTTCTTTTGATTTGCTGTCAAAGGAAATCATATTTTGTGTTTGTGTTCCCTAATGCAGAAAAGAATGAGGTTGCTCCCTTTAATGGAATTTAATGGCTGGTAACAGTGTGGATGGGGCTTGTGTGGAATTCTAGTGCTGACCATTGTTGCAGATTTTTCTGTTAATCGGAACAAACGTGTCAAAGATACAGTCAGACCCCATTGTGATGAAGTTGAAGGGACCGACATAAATTCTTCAAGTTATCCGATGTTCGACACAACCACAAATTGATGACGAAGTAAGGAATACAGAGCTCTTACTTTGAGCTTCCATAAGTTTAATACATTGACACAACAGCGTTTGACTGTATTAATGTTTACTTATGTATCAATAAACATTGACATATTTCTGATTTAATTCAAGTATAAACATTAAGTCAGATGTGCAGACTTTGCATTAAATTAAACAGGGTTGTTGTTATTTTGTTCTACCTCAAAAAACATATTTTGTCAATTACTTATTACAACTTTGAGTTTATATAATACTTTTTAGAAATTAAGTATCAGCATTGGTACATAGTATAGTCTGTGATAAAGATATTTGATATATACCAGTACAGGGCTTGGTTTAAGCATTTAGAACTGCCTAAGTGGCATTTAGAACTTGCACTGGTGCACCCTGAAACTGACAAATGCACCTTGATATTTCTACCAACTTGCACTAGGTGCATGTTACTATTTTGATCTTATCAGACCCAGAATATTTTTGTTATTATAATGTTCTACATCAAAAATACCAGAACTGAAGCTTTACATACAAATATATACTGAGCATCAGGTGCAACATGTTATTACCTGCTGCAACAAGGTTATTACCTAAGGTTGCACCGACTGGAAATTGAGATGTGTGGTTGTTGCGAAGATGTTTGTTGTTTTGTTTTTGTATTGTATTGTTATAAGTCAGAGGAATATTGTTGAACATATGGTTGTTGCAAATGGGAGTCTTACATGGCATTTTTGAGCAGGCTTCTATAGAATAATATTACTGTGTATCTTTTAGTTTTATTCTGTCATCTGTATATGAGATTTTAATCATTTTGCGAATCTTATTCCCATTCCAGTGAATCAGTGATGTAACGTGTAATTTTGATGAATGAATGAATGTTTATTTAGACCAAAGGTCACTCATTTATACATTCAATAATGATTTAACATGATGAACATAGTATGTATGATAAATCTAAGACGAGAGTCAGACTCCTTGTTTTTGTAGGCAATAATAAGTATCTTTATAGTTAATATTTTTGTCTAAGAGTTTTTCAGAGTGACGTTTTTGCATTTGAACACCCAGCTTCAGACCAAAAATTGTGCGTGTTGAAAGACCGAGACCAGATTATTTCAATTAGTTTCTATTTCTGTACTGATGGATTTCATTAATATCTTGGTTCCACAAAGTTTTTCATTCCAACTGAAAACCCAGAGTTTCCAATAAATTATTAGTTTTCTTAATGTTGTCGTTTTTGAAAAATGTTTTAGAAATGCGACATTTATCATCTTCTAAAAAAATGATCTGGTTTATTTCTAGCTGACCCAAAGATTTTGAGACAAAACATGTCCGTAAACCAACTAATAGAGCAGCAAAGGATTAAGGCTGGTGACAATAGTGTATGGCCTTCAGATTCCAGGTTGTTACAACACAGTTGATTGTTGATGAGGTAATTTCTCATGTTTACATGTGACCACATCCTTGTTGTTTTATCATAGGACAAACTATCTCACGATGTGTATGTATTCTTGGTTTTATATAGCACACCCCAACTTCCATTTGATTTATACTATTCAAAAGAGTTAAGGAACATCCCTGGCCATGACAGATTAACTACAATTGTATGAACAAATCTGGATGTTCTTTATCTTCTTCTGAGCAGTATATTGTGTTATATATTGTTTGATGTAGTTTACATATTCAGCACCTGGAGAATTGAATGACGTAACATGATGGTTTGCGAGCCCAATATCTGAACAGTTTATTGTTTTTAGGGGATAAACCTGCTTTGTCCTGAACTTGAAATATGAAGTATTGATTATTGCCATTCAGCCTTGACATTACAGACACTTTATAACACTGAACGAAAGGTGGTATCAACCTTGTTTTAATCAATCAGAATTAAGCTTTCTTCATTGTCATGGCAGATTGCCATGTGATGATGGGTAGCCAAATCATCTCAGCAACTTATGTTTGCTTTGAAGAGTTATGTCCCTTATGTTAGGCCGACCAGAAACCAGCCAGCTTGGGTCTGAATCGCTGATTCCTGCACCTTACATTTCTAGGTTTGTAAACTCGAACCCGAACTGGAGGGTTTCAGCATGTTGATAATCCTCAATCACGCTGCCCTGCCCTGAAGTAAATGCTGTTTAAACCAGGGATAAACTGCACTAACTCACTCACTCTTTGACAACATTATATACATGCAGTGTTAATGTTCATTAGCTGGTGTTTAATGGTTTTTTTAATGTATTTATCATATATTCCACTT